TGGAAGTTCATACTAAAATCCAGACATGGGAGCCACTAGTCGTTATTGGAGGCCAATAACGTGTATTGTTGTTGTATGTAACTTGTTATATAATAAATAAATCATCACTGGTTTTATTTCCTACAACTCTGTCTGACTATTTACATTTAAGAATTGAAAAGGAGAACTGGTCACACTTTACTAGACTGAACCCATTGATCCACACATCCACTTGTCCAGCATAGAGGTCACCTTGAAGCCTGAGTGCCAAATCCAGAGAGGGATCCTGAGGATAAAAGGACAAGGTGAGTGACAGGAGCCCTAGGATTGGTATTGTGGGAGCAGCCTGTGAAAGGGTTCTGTCATGTCCACCAACCCTCAAACACTGTGAAATAGGTGACATGGGGCCGGATGGCATCAGATGATGCTATCCTTCGTGCTTATCCAAATGTCCTGGTGCCTTGACCTTGCAAATCCATCCAGGTGGGAAACATGCAGCCTGCCAGATCTTGTTGGATTCCAACTCCCAGCATTCTTCACCCCTGGCTTTGAAGGCTAGGCCTGCTGGTAATGGCAGGCCAACAATATGGGGGCAGCCGGGTTATTCCCAGCCCTCCTGCCAGCCCTGGCTGTTTTAAGACATTGCATAAACCTCTTCCTCCTTTCAATTGCCCCATTTGGATGGAGGCCTTGCAACTGCTTTGTATCTGTTGAGCACTTTATCTCTCCCCCACCACCACCACCACTTTAGAGGATGGTAAACAAACCCAGCTGGAAGCCTAAGTGAATTTTTGAAAATAAAATATATGTATAGATCCAGGCAGATTAATGCTAATCCTTACACTTCTTTAGATCAAACTACAGTTCCCTAAATTTGTAAATAAAGCAGCTGAAACACGCTCATTTCCAAAAGATTATATTTGCCCATCTGTCCCTCGAACTGCATCGGAATCAAAAGTAGAATTCTTGAGTTTGTTTTTGTTTTTCCCTCCCAGTCTGTTCCAGATCTTTTAGATACAGAGACATTGCCTAGAGATGCAGCTGGCATAATGGAAAGCCAGTTCCTCTCTTTCCTCCCCCCCCCCCCCATGTGTGTGTTTATTGTGTGTGTGTTTAGGTTTTGCATGTATTGGAAGGGTTTAGAAAAATATTTTCTCTTGGGAGCTGCTTTAGCAATCATCCCAAGGGCTTAATCTCTCCTCCTCGCTCCCTTTTTGAAAAAACCACACATTTTAACAGAGAAGCACTTTTTGAGCACAAAACACTTTCTGAAGAATATTCAGCCTAATTAAGCCTCACAGCAATTCCATTTCTTGCAGCAGCAACAGCAGCTACTGCAGGTTGTCCTGGGGTGCAGAGAGCTTTAATGCTCTTCTTTTGTTTAGTCAGAACTAGGAGAAGATCTCAGGATGGATGCACCCTAGTGATAAAACAGCTCCTTGGCAAACATCTCCATTTCCAGCTCCTTGAGGGGCTGTTTTCCAAAAGAAAAAAAAAAACCTTCCCGTTGCAGACGGCTTCTACTTCATTACCGTAGAAATGTCATGGCACTTTATTATTTCTTTCTCTTCTTCTTCTTCTCACCCTGTGGCAAAACTGTAATCAGGTTTTGCTCTCCCTGAACAAATTGCTGCATTCCTTCTATCATTTCAGAGAATGCGAGTTTCTTCTTTGCTGGGCCAAAGCGCTGTGTAATTTCCATCCATGGCGGCTGAATGGCCACGCCAGGGCTTTGATTATCATTTTCATTTCAAAGTGTTGCAAAGAAATTAATACAAGGACCCAAAATTAATTCCATGCCCCCTCCTTCTGAGGATGAAATGTTCCAGGCAGCTGAAAGCATGAAGAAGAGACTCAGTAGCAACACTTTGCATTTGGAGAGCAATTTCAAGCATTCACACCGCATTATATGTATCATCGCATTATTAATTTCTTTGTTGATTTAGTTACTTTTTGTACTCTTAAACCTGGCATGATTCCATGAGTTGACATCCAAATTTCCCCTCCAAATTCTGGCTTTATTTATAAAACAGGTAAAGCCAGAGTAGAGAATCAGTGTGATACAGCAGGTTTGAGTGACAGACTCAGACTCCGGCAGAATAGTTTGAATCCCCACTCAGCCATGGAAACCCACTGGATAACATTAGGTAAATCATACTCATTCAGACTTAGAGGAAGGTCATGGTAAGCTTCTTTGAATTAATCTGGCCAAGAAAACCCTAGGTTAAAGAGCAAGCATGGTATAGTGGTTTCAGTACAGTTTGGCTTCTGTATCCACAGATTCTGCATCCATGGATCCAGCCATCCATGTCTGAAAATATTCCAAGAGAGAGAGAGAGAGAAATTCCAAAAAGCAAACCTTGATTTTACCATTTTATACGAGGGACACCATTTTACTGTATATAATGGGATGAGCACCCATGAATTTTGCTAATCATGGGGGAGTCCAGAAACCAAACCCCAGGGGATACTGAGGGCCCACTGTATTGGACCTGGAAATCAAGAATCCCCACTCAGACATGGAAATACATGGGTGACCATGGATAGATTGCACTCTCTCAATCTTACAGATGGGCCTCGGCAAACCTCTTCAGAATAAATCTGTCCAAGGCAATCCTAGGGTGAACAGCCAGCGTGGTGTAGTGGTTTGAATGTTGGACCCTGGGGACCAGGGTTTGAATCCATGTTCAGCCTTGGAAACCAATTGAGTGACCTTAGACAAGTCACACTGTGTGAACGTAAGGGGAAGGCCATGGCAAACCTTCTCCAGATAAATCTGGCCAAGTAAGTCCTAATATAGGGTCACCATAAGTCCGAGTCTACTTGAAGTCACACAGCAGCAGTGAAGGCATAGTACCATGGACTTCCAGAAAGACCAATAAAATGGCCTGAGAGCAAACCAAGCCTGAACTCTCACTAGAAACCAAAAGGACTAAACAGGGCTATACATAAGGGTCTCTTTGTGGTCTCTTATTCATAGGGTAGCCTGAAGTTGGAGTTGACTTGGTGGCACATAACAACAATAAATGCAGCCCTTTGCCTGATTTTATCAGCCTTTGGGAGTCTCTATGGGACTCTTTATTACTGTGGTAGTTAGTAACATACTTGTTGAAGATCAAGGCTGACATAAAAGCTAAGAAACATGCCTGAGTGGCATGAAAGGAGGAGAGGTGGTGAGGAAGGTCTGCCAACAGGGGAAACAAAGCTGTTGTGAATGCCTGAAATCTGCACAACTGTCAAAACAGTCCACTCCCGCACCGGTCAGTGGCACAACCATCCCCTGCCCTTCCATGATGTACCACCATTGATCCATCAGATGCTTAGGTGCTCCAAACACAATGAGATACAAGCCAAATGTACTCCATCAATTCTCCACATTGAGTTAGTCCTAGCACAAGGTGGCAGGAGAGCAAGGTGGCAGGCAGGAGACACAAGAGAAGGAAGAGCTAAGAGTTTTGCCTTGAAAACAATCAAAACTATCCGTCCAGCTCCAACTTCATAAGATGGCCATATGTTCTAGTTTGCCCAGGACAGGCCTCTGTCTTAGGGGTTCTCGGGTGAATGTCTTCTCTTCCAAAATGTTCTCCAGGGGAGGCTAATGGCTTCCTTCTCAGCAGGGCAGTGAAGCCACTCTGAAATTTAGCATGACTTTAAAGGAGCTATCCAAGGTATTGAATGGAGGTGATGGATATGGTTCAGCAACTTGGATGCAACCTCTAAAATCCAAGCTAAAACTCACCCTCTTACTGACCGTGGAAGCCACCAGTTAATACTGTTTTCTTCTGTTTTAAGGCTTGTCCATGTCTCAGTTGAAGATACACAATTAAAACACACAAGGGCCTTGAAATTGTCCATCAAAGATAGACAGCAGACTGAGCAGCAGGCACACAGCTACCCTGGCTCTAGTCTTACCTATTAGAATGGACAAATTCTATTTTTGTTTAAATCAAAGTTAGATGTGGATAACATTTTCTATGCACTGGCCTGCCTGCAGGCACAGAAATCTCATAAACAGGAAAAGCCAAAGGAACAAAAGAACAAAGCAAACTGAAACCCTGCTCCCCCCCAATTCTAATTAATAATAATAATAATAATAATAATAATAATAATAATAATAATAATTTTTACCCCGCCCCTCTGTTAAAACAATTGAGGTGGCTAAGTACCCATTGTTGTTGTTGGGCACCTTATTTCTGATTTGTTATGATTTATGGTGGTTTATTGGCAAAAAAATTTCAAAGCAGGTTTGCCACTGCCTTCCCCTGAGGCTGAGAGAGTGTGACTTACCCCAGATCACCCTGTGGGTTCCCATGGCTGATCAGGGATCTGAGCCCTGGTACCCCACATTCCTAGTCCAGTACTCAGAAGAACTACACCACACTGGGTTGCCTAAGCACTCCACTATGTTACAAACCCCACAAATTCCACGGGATGGACCTATAGTAGTTAATGTGGTATCAATGTGTTGTAATTATGTAGTATGGATAGCGCCAGAGTAAAAAAAGAGGCACAGTGAGCTATTGAGTTTCAGGCAGTTGGGCAGGTGATCTCTCTCTGGCAATCTGATATGGGCTACTAGATCTTCTGCCTGCCTTAGAGGTTGGAATGCTGTTTGCCTCCATCTCATCTTGTATACCTGTAAATAAATCTGCGATCCAGCATGGTGTACTGGTTTGAGCATTGGATTATGACCCTGGAGACCAGGATTTAAATCCCTGCTCAGCCATGGAACCGACTGGATGACCATGGGCAAGTCACACTCTCTCAGTGTCAGAGGAAGGCAATGACAAACCTCTTCTGAACAAATCTTGGGGGGGGGGGGGGGGGGGGAGAAGAATCCTGCGATAGGTTTGCATTGTTGTATGTTGTTGTGTGCCTTCAAATCATTCCCGACTTATGATGACCCTAAGGCAAACTATCATGGGGTTTTCTTGGCAAGATTTGTGCAGAGGAGATTTGCAATTGCCACCCCATGAGGCTGACAGCATCTCACTTGCCCAAGGTCACCCAGTGGATTTCGTTGCCATGCTGGGAGTTGAACCCTGATCTCCAGAGTCATAATCCAACACTCGAACCACTGTGCCACACTGGCTCTGAGTTTGCAATGGAGTTGCCATAAGCCGGAAATGACATGAAGGCACACAACAAATTCAAAGGCAATAACAAATTCAGCTATGACAAAACTCAAATACTGCTACAAAACACTGTGTGTAATTTCTACTTCTGCAGGAAACCAGGGCAAGGTAATTGCCAGACTTGGAATGTTTTGCAATATGGGGAAGTGGGAGCATGTAACCATTTATTAATCTTGTTATGTAGATGTGACCTAGGTTAGTCTCAGAGATATTTTACCTGCCCTTCTTCTCTGTTTCTCCTTGACTTTGAGGCTTGCTCTGATGCTGATGAGAACTTCTCCATTTAAGCTGTTTAATATTATCCTGTTGATGTCAATGTTCTCTAAAATGGACCTTCTGGGAAATGGGAGGCAAACCAATTGAGCAAACCAAATGTCTTTGTGATGTAAATCTTCCCAAGAGGTCTTGACACTCTACTTGAGACAGGGAAAAGCTTTTAAACAAGGCATTAAAAAGCACCCTTATGGAGGAAGGGGGAAAATATCCTGTCCCTTTTGCATTTGATATATGGCTTTGATTTCTCCACCATCTTTCATACCTTAATTGATTTTGTCTATAAGTTGACTTGGTTGCTGAACAGAGTTTTCTATTTTTTCCTCCTGAAAATGGATTGCCATCAGGAACCACCTTGATCCTTTCCCCATCTGTCTCCCCAAAGCATTATCATGCCTTCAAATACAACTTCAGCTAAGGATGGTGTGTCTCCTCTGAATGAATGCCTGGAGACAGTAATAGGTTGGATGAAGAAAAACAAATTAAAACTGGATCCAAACAAGACAGAGGTGTTTACTGTCAAGGTCCTAATCTGGGTTTAGAGGTATGTCAACCAGTTCTGAATGGGATTATACTCCCACTGAAAGACTGTGTTTGCAGCTTGTGGACCTATTGCTCCAAATGACAGTTCAAATACATACGGGAGTGCCTACTATCAGCTTTGGTTATTACACCCCTACCTAAAGTTGGAGGACTTAAAGATGGTAGTGCACACACTGCTAACCTCAAAGCTGGACTTTTGCAATGCTACACTGGGCTACCTGTATGCCAAGCCCACAAACTTCAGTTAATTCAAAACACAGCAGCCAGATTGATTATTGGGACATCCATGAGTGACCCAATTGCACCAACATTAAAATCTCTCCACTGGCTGCCATTTAGTTTCTGGGAAAGGTACAAAGTGTTGGTAATTACTTTTAAAGCCCTACATGGTCTGGGTCCAGGTTACATACAGGATCGCTTCCTCCCACATAATCCACCCATAAACTCAGGTCCTCTGGCAAACATTTATTCCATTTACTCAGCCAGGACTTGGTTGGCAATTGTCAGCCAGAGAGGTTTTTCTTCAACTGCTCCTAGATTGTGGAATGGCCTGTTGGAAGAGATTCAACAGCTGAATACACTGTCCAAATTTAAAACAGCAATGAAGACTAGTCTCTTCTAGAAGACTTATCTAGACAATATTTAAATTGTGAATTTTGATGCTGAATTGTAAATGTAGACTCTTTTAAACTGTATATATCTTATTTGTCTTTTTAAACTGTTGCATGTTTTAATTAATGTATTTTAATTGATGTTGTTCATTATTGATTTGCTGTTGTTCCTCACCTTGATCCATGAGGAGAGGCAGGTAAGAAATTTATTTATTTATTTATTTATT